TCCAAGTTTTAGTAACATTATCCCTATAATAAGGCCTTCACAAGTCCTTGCAGTCTTACTTCCTACCTAGTTGTGGTCTATCAAACTTCTTGGGAACTGTTTTTTCCTCTGGGCTCTTTCATACCTCTGTGCCTCAGCTTGAATGGCCTCCTTCCCTTCTCTGTAAGTATTAACTACTCTCTTCTTTCAAGACAGAGTTACCTCCTCTGAGAAGCCTGCCCAATCTCTATTGGCAAAATTGAAAACTTCTTCCCCTATTTTCCCATTAAAACAATTTGCATAGGTCTATATCACAACCCTTGCTTTACTATTCACACTGTTACCCTCAGAAGACTGTGAGCTCCTCAAAAGAATGTCCAATCTAGCTCTGTACTTCCTGGGTTGCAGGACAGGGTGTGATACTTGGTTTATGTTCAATGACCAAAAGAATGAATGAACTTGCTTTGGGTGGGCCCATTAGTACATATGCTATTTGGGTAGGTTAAGGACGCAACCCTGTTTTCCCATGATGATGCTGGCTTAGACTAATATTCCAGTGAAATAGGAATCCTTTCATTCTCAACAGTGTTCTGACTTGAATAAGAAATTATATAGTCAGCCTCGGTTGGGAGAACTGGGTATAACTGGGTATAACTCAGGCATATTGCCCTTGACCACACAAAACCTGGTCATCTCATTTTCCAACTTCTCAACAACCTTTCAAATTAATCATTTTAAATTCTTTTTAAAAATTCTTCTCCTAAAGAATTTATCCCCCCCACTCAAGTCCATACCTATGGCCCAGGAAAATAAAAACAAATACTGTGCTGGAAAAATAAGAATATACAATCTTCATTCTATTTTCTCACCAAATTCCATAGGACAATAGCACCTATTCAGACTAATCAATCTCTCTGCTAGATGAAGAATATGTGGCTGCCTAGAGTTGGAGCAGATGTGAGATCAAGCTCTGGTCTGGGTTTGCCAACCACACATCCATTGCCCCAGGTTAAAATAACCATTGTCTTATGGATAGTCTAGAAGTTTCAGCTCAGTAATTATAGCAGAAACTAATAAATCTGCCTACAAAAAAAAAAAAATAAGCATCTCTTTCCAAATCATTCTGCCCCAAACTTGAAGAAGACGTTTCTGAAAGATCAAAGAGAATCAGACTACCTCTTTTTTAAGAAGCATAAATGTGTTTAGTTTTTTACTCCACACAAATTCTATCTGGACTCAAAGATATCAACACAACCACTTAAAGAAGAGATAATTAAGAAATATTCCAAAGGTCACAAAAGACATTTCTAATAAATTGCCAAACTAATTTTCCACAATGGTGCAGTCTGAATGAACTAAGAAAAACAGACTTTTAAAACTATATATGAATAAATCTCAAAAGGTTTGCCATATACCCCCTTAACCTAATCATTTATGAGAAGATTTACATAGTGCTTTCTAATTTTAAAAACGTTATTTCAGGGCATAAAATTAGAGAAGAACCACAAAATAAATATGAACTAAAAGGAACATTAACCATCATGTAGTTAATGATTTTGTTTAATGAGAATAAAGCCTCAAATATTTAACCTCTTAGAGTTGTTCTCATTATCTATTATTTTTCATTAATCCTAGAATCACAGGGCAAAGAAACATAAACCACAATTTACTTTGAAACATTTGCCCAAATCTGCTATACATTTATTTTTAGGACAAAGTTCATAAAAGGCCACTTCTCCAGGTAAACTGGATTAAATGCCTTCTAAAGGGAAATCAAATTAAACCACCACCAAATGGCTGGTTTCTAAACAGTGCTTTGGGATATGAAATCCGATTTGACAGACGCCTTATACACTGTGGTCAATTCCCCCATCTGATGAGAATTTCTGTGGTTTTGCTTTTACCAATACTAAGAGGTTCTTAATTTACAGTGACATATATATGTCCACAGTATACKCGACATGTATATACATAGAGAAATATGTTTGTATCTCTTTCTTATATAAAATCACTGGGGGAAAAAATCTCGAGATTTGGTTTTATTTTTTAAATCATTGAGTTTGCATCTAATATTTGACAGACTGATGCCTTGTGGGATACGATTTGGAAGCTACACTCTCTCTGATCTTTACCAGATGTTTCACTGGTGCTGTTTCAGCCTCAAGAGACAAAGAGGATATTAATGTTAATTTTATTTATTTAATCACATCAGGCAGATTTGATAAAAGAGAAAATCCAATATTTTGGTAATTTACCAACTCTTCAGAAATGTCCATAGTAGCAAAAAAAAAATGTTTTGAAGATCACTTTATATTAAAAGCAGAGAGGCTACATCATGGTTGTGAGGAAGAATTCTCTTACCTCTAAAAATGGGAAAGATGTGACAGATCTGTCAGTGCCACTTTTAACACAGGGAGGAGAGAAGTAGCAATGACAGATATATACATCAACACAAGGCCCATCCCGACCTTTAATGTACTATTAACTGCAGAGAAAGAATACTCTGACCATGAGATGGACACTGTCAAAAGCCTCCTGCCACCACCAGAGTTTCTGTAGTATCTTCTTATCTCTCACCTCTGTTTTTTATTCCAAGGGGAAAATGAACTACCCTGATCATCGCCAGGACATTGATGATAATGAAGACATATTTTCTACTAAGTGCTGCCTCCCCACACTTTAACCTAGACAGGGGAGGCTTTCATTTATCTAGAATTTGTAGAGTACTTGTTTTCAGTCTTGGCTGCTCATTAGAATCACCTGAAAGCCGCTCCCCAGACAAAACACATCACAAACTCAGGGGAGAGACCCAGGTACTGGTACTCTGTAAAGGTCTCCAGGTGAGTCAAATGTCAGCCAAGCAAAGAATAGTGCTTTAGTGGAGAACAGCTAAACTGGAAAAATCAATTCTTCTGGGCTTTATGCTCACCTGAAAATGGCATGTATGTAAGGAAGCTGAAGTGCTATCTTAATTTTCTTTCACTTTTAAAATGAAACATTTCACACAGAGAAGTTTACGAAATATAACAGATACCCGTGGCACCTGTATTGCCACCACTGAGTTTAAGAGAAACTAATATTTTGCCATATTCATGTCAGTTTTCCCTCTTTGGAAAGAAGATGAAGCAAAATCCCCACATCCTATTTCTTTCCTCTTTAGAAATATCCCCTATCCTAAGGTTACTGGTTACTCTACCCACAGGATTTCATTCCTTAACCACACGATTATTGATCTACAACAACTCTATACTTTGCTGTGTTTAAATGTACATAAATTGCATTATACTGCATTAACCCTTTTGCATATAAATTTTCACTCAACAATTTTTGAGAGTTGCTCATGTTGATACATTCATGGGTATATTCCAATAATTTTAAACTTCTTTATATTATTTCATTAGGAATAAATCATAGTTTATTGATTCATCTTATGTATGGAGAGTTATTTACACTTTAAAAAAACCACAAATGCAATAAACATCTTTTCTTGGGTTTCTCTGTCACCACATGCAAGAATCTGTAGTTTACACACTTAGACATGATTCTAGTGGATATGCTTAGCTCCAATCTTACTAGGTATTCCAAAATCACTCTCTAAAGTGGTTACACAATTTACTCCCTCCAGAAAAGTCAGCATACTCCCCATTCCACATACCCTTATCAATACTTGGTAGTATGAAAATTTACTCATTTTGGCCTATATAAATATTTTGAAGTGTTAACTAATAGTTATAGTTAGATAGTATTTTCCTAAGATCCCTTCTGGTCATGTTATTGTGGTCATCATATCAATGCCAAATCTTACCAAATAACAAACTAAAAGACATAAAAAATCCTTCTACAGCTTACAATAAATTTACTTTTCCTCAAAAAATATGCTACAGGGGTGAGACTGTAGCTCAGTGGTACAGCACTTGTTTAGCATGTGTGAGGCACTGAGTCTGAGCCYCAGCACCACATAAAAATAAAAAAAAGAAAAGAAAGGTATTATATCCATCTATAACTAAGAAAAATATTTTTTAAAATATGCTACATAGTCAATAGTGGCCCATGAACCCATACATCAGACCATAAAAGAAGAATGGGGACATGGCCCCAGTGCTGTATTTATTTTCTTATGTTCATGAACCAATGTTACTTAAAAAGCAAACTACCCAATGTTCAAGCCAAAGAAAATACTCTAGGTTTGGCCAGGCAAAATGCCTGAGGAGAAATGAGTCAATTCATACAAAATTCAAAACTGTCTATGGTCAGTGACATTTTCATGAAAATCTGTGGGTGGGTAAAAGTTTTACAAAATTCCTTTTTTCTATTGGATAAAAATCATCCAGGAAAAATAAGCAAAATTTAAGTGGCAGCCCACATTCCCCCTAATTCCCTTATTAACACTCCCTAACCCCCCAGCACAACTGCTTGCAATTGTGCACAAAGGCAAGTACTGGCCTTTCCCACCCTGGCAACAGAATCCCATGCCCCTGATCACTCTGTCCTTGATCAGATAAGTTTTCCCAGCAGAGGCACTAACTGAGCATGCCTGGCCTCATTCAAAACATACCTTCCTGGGAACACTATCAGGCCAGGCACTGCACACCCTTAAACTTAATGGCAGAAAGACCTATGTATGGCAAAAACATTCTCAGTGTGCGCTCTGTTGGAACCATTACTATGGATACAGTTAGAGACGATTGACATAAAATGTGTCTCTGGGTTAGACTTTATGTTGTCCTCCTACACAAATCAACAGTTTGAAAAAGAGACAAATTCTGGGTCTCCATGACTTGTTCTAACTTGGAAATCTAGAACCTTACCATTTCAGGAAAACTTATCAGAATTCCACATAGTTACACTGGGAATGCCCCCACCGTTTTTTTAACTCCAAGATTTACCAAGGTTGGGAGTGGGTAAACAAAGGAAGGTCAAAATAGAATGATTCAGCACATAGAAATTGCTTTACTTAATAGACAGCAGTGAATGGACTTGAGTCCTTTTAAATATAATACTGCCATATCCCAGTTTCTGATTTAGCTGAGATCTGTCTGTCTGCCATGGCCTTTACTTCTCAAGGCCTTTTTGTCATGGCTGGGAATATCTCTGCCATTGTGCCAGGCCTGCAAAGAGAGCTTTGCACAGAAGCAGTAAGAATGAGATCTTCAGAACGGTGGGATTATTTGGGTGGGGAAAGGAAAATAACCCATCCTCTTCTTACAGTAATTGAACCAAATAAATAATTCATAACCCTCCCCTGGTTTTGCCGTCTACAGTCCTGAGTGATCAAGAACCCTAGAGTTCTGGGTAAAGCTGGAGAGTCATAATCAGAAATTCTGAAAATGCATTCTCCCATGCAGGAAAGGGAATTTGGCACTGAGGGAGGACACCAGTGACAGCCTCTTCCTGTAAGCAGGCTGTAGCCCTCTGACACACCCTCCATTTACCATAACTTCCACAAGCTCTTTGTGCTTCTTGTAGTCATGGTCACCAAACACAAAGGGGTCATCTGCCCTTTCCTGGGTCAATAAGCAATTGAGTGAAAATGATGAGTAACTCTATCATGGAAAATTAAAAGCAGTTAAGCATACGTAAAATAGACTGGACCTTTTCATTGAAACTGCTCCTAGCCTTTGCAGCATGTGACACAGCCACAAAAAGCCAAAGATCATTTCTCCAAAAGAAGAATGTGATCATTTTACTTGGCAGGATCTTTAGCTTTGATTCAACTACCTTCTGATTTTAAAGCAATGAAACATCCCAGTGTTAAAAGTTCTTTGTGTCTGGATCCAAATGTGTAAACATTCATTTTTCAAAAGCAGAAGAATACATTATTTCAGGTGGGCATCCACTTTAAGCACAATGTTTTCTATCCATGGACTATACCTTGAGAGGAATGCTAAATTTTCATGCAAAACATTCACTGCCAGTAGGCTACAGTCCTACAAATCAAGCAGATGACGAGTAAGTCAAGGGTCTTCAGAAGAAATGAAGTCCATAATATGTATGTTTATGTGAAAATGGATGACTTCTTGCTATAAATATATATTCCCAAGACTAGAATTGCAGCATTAGTCAGGTCCTAAGAAACCCTGCCTTGGATAAACATATTTGCACTATAATATGTGTAAGTAAATGGTTTGTGGTTCTAGATTTAATATGCTATTAAATTAGCAACCTGCATTTTGCAAAGATTCCATCTAGATGTGGGGAGTGGGCAGATTAAGAGAAAAATTACCTCCCATACCCATCCTGAACAGTACAATAAAGAGCTATGCAGAGGTCTGCAAACATTTACCTTTCAGCTTATTCTTTCACTCAACTATTTCTATTTTTACTATTCAGCATGCACTTCAGCAAAAGTCAACCTTATAAAGTTACACATCTTTAAAAAGTCTGGGGATAGTGGGAAAATGGGGAAATCCTGTTGCATAAAAATTAATTTTGCAATGCAGAAAAAAATTTCTTTGGATAATTCAAGGCTTTATGTTTATTTCAGTAAAACCAAATCCAGTAAACTATTTTCAGCCAGGATTAGTCAGAACTGAAAGGTTGGACTGTTTTCCTTCAGAAACTGAATGTCTTTCCTGCCTGCAATAGGATGGTGTGTTCCAAACAGAGTAAATGGAATTGCCTACAATTGCCTGTCTCTTTCTGGCATTTTTAATGTAGAACCCTACTGAAAGAGTGAGGTTTTGTCTCCTGGAATGTAATCATTCCTTTCACTCAGAACCTGACATTTTCACAATATATCACCTTCAGGTTTTCCTTAAGAAAAATCACAACATGGGGCCTAATGTAACCATGAGAAATGCAATTTCATTCCACCAAAAATTCTTAAAACTCTTTCAAAAATACCTACTGGATGGTGAAAAGGTGTTTCTAATACTTACATTACAGATGTCACCTGTTTGGTTTGCTTTTACATGAATCAGAGAACCTGGCTAATCTACAATGAGACATAAACATGGTCCCGATTCTCTATATCACGACATGCTATAGAAAGAAGGGACTGGGGTTGGGGAATCACAGTCCAGATAAGTTCCTTTTTAAAATAATTTATATATTTCACATATTTAGTGACCTCCACCATACTCATTATCCAGGGAGCACACAGAATTCTCAGATTTTAACTCTGAAGAAATATTCCTACCCATCTAAATTAATATAAACCATATGTTCTTCTTCTTCCAAGAGTTAAGTAAGCTGTCAGATTGTGCAAAGCCATCCCTGTGATCCCAAGGGTGATGTCCCACTTGTAAACCCTGAGGGCTTCTCTGAGGTGTGAAATTATTGTGAAATAGTTTAAGAATCATATTATTCAAATATAGTAAATTTTGCCCAGAAACAGAGTTCTAGGACTGATGCCGGGAAAAGGGGAAGGCAGGGGAAAGTGACACCAGGCCCACTTCTTTCAATGCCAAAGGTACATTAGGCACATTCCCTAATCCACTCCCTCCTTATATCTTTCCACAAACTCTCTCCTTAAAATTAGGTGAGATCCCTCCAGGTTCTGCTTTGTGGTATCCTTTGGTGTTTTTATGCTGGCTATAAATCATTAACTAGTCCCACAACTGGAAAGTACAGTGTGCAGGCGTGTGGGTACATGTAGCAATAGTTTTACTAGCCAATTTGCTAAGTGGTAAGTTCCTTTCTTAAATATCAGAACACCCCTTTCCCCCACTCCAAGTCTCACTCAGTTTTTGGAGGGAAAGAAAAATCTGAGTATTTGCTTTGGAAGAGAGCTAAAGCTCGCTGGTGGTGTGATGTGTGTTCCTTTGCTCTTGCACGTCCACGCACATTAAGGAAGCTCCAGTTTGTGCCTGGCCAGCATTTTTTTTCAAGATTACGGACAGTGGGGCAGACTGGCCTTCCCTGCTGATCATGTACCCTTTCAGAAGAGAATCTAGAAATGGAGAGAAACCAGCAGCCACTAGCCATCAGAAGAACCTTTCCCTTCCTCAAGCTGAAGACGTATCCCATCTCATGGACATCCCCAGCACCACACATCCAAACCCACAAATGAAGAAACTATCCTCAGACCTGTGGGCCAAGTTTAGAAAAATACACACATGAAATACAAATACTAGGCCTTGGAGAAAGGTCACTCCTGGGCTTCAGAAACTCACCGTACACTTGTTGGGCTTCTCCCCAGAGTGGACCCTCATGTGGATCAGCAGTTTATAGCGGGCGTTGAAAGGCTTGTACCTTCTAGGGCAGCCAGCCCAGAAGCAAGTGAAGTCTTCCCCCTTTCGCTGATCAATGTGGACCTTCTCGATGTGCCGCACAAGTTCCTCCTGCTGGTCATACAAGGCGCTGCAATCTATCCAGCGACAACAGTGCTTGCCCCCACCATCATCCATCTCTCCATCATCGTCCAGGGTGGCTTGAGGCAGTGCCAGTGGCTGGCTGTGGGCCACTAGCTCTGGGTGATGAAGGTGAGGGTGGGCATGGTAGGGTGGTGGGGGACCTTGAGGCGGTGGCAAGGGAGGTAGGGGGGGAGCGGGTGGCAGATCCAGGGTACCACCTGGGAAGTCCTCCAGTCGCTCAGTCTTGAGCATGCCAGAAGGTTGGCCTTCAGGGCCCGGCAGGCCATGCTGCACCACCATATTGTTGACCTGCCCGGGCTGAAGGCCACCGTGCTCCAGCTGTTGCATGCGCTCATACTCCAGTACTCCATCATCACCATAGGCCGGTAGCGCCAGGCCACCACTGGTCACCAGCACGCCCTTCTGGCTGCCAGGTACTGCACATGGCTGGGGAATACAGCTGCCGCGTACCCCCAGGAAATGCCCGTAGACCTCTGGCTGCGGGGACATGTTGGCTGGGGATGCCCTCGGCCCATTGATATAGGCAACCAAGGACGTGGGTGAGGTGCGGATGATGGTATTGAAGTCTATCCCGATGCCATCTGACAAGGGCGACAAGGACAGTGCTCTCTTCTTCGAGCGGGCTGAGTGGGATCTGGTGGATGAATGCCGGGGACTAGGGTAAGGAGAGTGGGTATTTTCCATGCCAAAAAGATAGGATGGCAATGAGTTAGAGATGCTATTGCTGGACATGGATGTCCCTGGAGGAAGGCCAAGGAAGTCCCCTAGATCCACACCATTCTGAGAGCTATGGTTGGAGGAAAGCGAAGGCAGAGCCCTGTAGCCCTGAGACCACTCTTGTTTCACACTCAAGGCCGATTGACTTTCCGTGAGACTCAAAGTCGTGGATGCCAGAGACTCCCGTGAAATAAGGGACCTGGAACAGCAGCCAGAAGAGAAGAAAAAAAAATAACATTTTAACAAGATATGGATTGCTTAAGAGCTAAAAGAACATTGCACTTACAATCCCTTATGTATTTCCCCTAATTACATTCTCCACCAAACACACATTCTTGGGTTCAGATAAAATCCAAGGTTTTTCGTTCCAGGTAAATAATATTTTCCCAAGAAGCACAATAAACTTAATGCTTACTGAAATAATAAAACAAAAGATATATTGTTATAATCTCAGAACTTTAATTATAATAAATAGTGCTTGCTTTATTTTCAAATATCCTTTTTAATGTAGGGGGAAAATTAAAGACCTGGGAAAAATTATTAATGTCTTGTCATAGCAAACCAAATAATCAAGTATTTGTTAAGTACCTACTGTGTGCAGTATGGTATGATAGGCTTTGCAGCGCATACAAATCTAAACAGAGTACCAGCCTTTAAGTAACATCTATTTGGGGAGGTAACATTAAACTTTACTTCATTAAAAAAAAAAAAAGAGTAAATCCTTAAAGTCAAAGCGTAGTCCAAGGGATTCAGAAGCTTTACAATTTAGTTTCACTGATATTAACAAATTAGTAAGATAATAATAATAATAATAATAATAATAATAATAATAATTAAAGAGCAATTTATCCCCTGTCAGTACTCAGTTACAATATCAAATCATCCCAGTAGGTGAAAAATATATATAAAACACATGGACTGGTTTCAATTCTTAATTTTTTAAATAAAACATAGCTATAATATATAAGGAGTTCGAACTAAAATCAAGTCATATTTAGAATTACATGCTGGGGCCATGTAAGGTTTAACCACACTTGCTTGCCTTGGGTTTTTGATGAGTTCTTGTTCTTAAATCAGAGCAGCTTTGGGCTGAGAGTAGATCATTCACTTTCAATTGCTTGTTTTACAAGATTTCCCTACCTGTTCTTTCCCTTTGCTAAATAAGCTTCATGTCTCACAATATATTGTATACATTAAAAAATGGCCCATAATGTAGCTCAGGCCCCTTTAAAATTCTTTTGCTTTATTACGGCATGGTTGCTTTAAAAAGAACTGAAGAAAATAAAAAGCTATGTACCTTAGACAGAAAATCTGTCACAAAGAGGCTACTCATGTAGACATTTAGAACAGGCACTGTATTCCCTGACTTAGACTCAGTGTACAGCAGAAAAGTTGGCTTATTTATGTGTATCTGCACTTGCTTTCTACAGAGATCTATTTTGGGGATAATAAAATTAACCACAACAAAATGTTATAGAAAATGTCTGCCTTCCCCAAAATGAATACTTTTACTATCTTTAGCTGTTAAATATCAACCTGTTGCAAAGGAACAAGTGAAAAAGAGAAACACTTTTATCCCACCTGTTCCTCTTACTCCATTTCACAAAATGGAAGCCAGGAATGTGGTTTCCTATGAGTGTGAGATATTAGCAAGAAAACAGCTCTGAAATGCACACTATGGGGTGATAACACTGTGATCAACATGATGTTACCATCAGGCGAAGTAATGTTTACCAATGACAAACACAGCCGGAATGTATGTCCAGTTGCCCTTGACATAGATTTTTTTCTTAGTCCACATCCTTACATTTGGGTTGAAGTCCTTTTTCAAGCCCCAAAGTGTTTTCTGAACCATCTGTTTTTTAATTCCCCGTGGACACTTTTCAATTATTTTCTTAGCACACTTGCAGCTTGTGGCTCTTCCTGCAGAGCTCAGCAGAAGGCTCCTGGTGATTGGATGTCAAGGGCCCTTTGGTTCCTTCCCCAGTGAGATTCAGGAATTACTTTCAGACCCAAGCTAAATCAGTAGATATGTCATATTTGAAGCAGAGACAACTGACTTTGCTTTACACCCTGAGAAAGTTTATAGAACATCAAGAATAAGAGCTTCACTAGAGCCATGTGGCTGAGTGGATGTCCATTCTCAGGTGGCACATTTGCCTGTCAGTGTCATTTTAGAACATTTCAGATTTTTAAGCAGTGACCAACAGAGAATTTTATCTACCTCTATAAACTTTGCTTATAAAATTATATTATTTGGTTTGAGGGCAGCCTATAGTGAGACTTGTTCATTGTTCCATTGTTGAAAGATGATTCTCATTTTTCTCAAATTACACCTGACTATGGCTTAAATTAAATCTGAATATAACCCTGTGTAGATGCTTTGCTTAATACCTTGGACATCTCAGTTTTCTAAGATAGTTATCATATATTTTTCGAAAAGCAAATTCTATATTCTATCATTAAAGCAATTAGTATGAATAGGGCTGTGTCTGTCTCTCTCCCTCCCTCCCTCTCTCTCTCTTTCTCTCTCTCTCAGCAGCCAGTCTCTCTCCTAACTCCTATGCAGTAATCCAGACCTTTTACAGTTCTAATGCATGGAATATCTCCCCAATACACCAGTTCTCAGTAAGAGTCCTCTTTCCAAAGAGGTTATATACTATCTGTGCACCTGGAAGAATATGTGGGTATTTTCCTCAACAGAAGTCAAAGTCTCTCAACAGAAGAGGCATTTTTAAATCTCCCTAGTACCTATCAGAGTGTTAGATAAATACAAAGTATTCAAAAATGTGTTAATTAACAAAGTAAATAAATAAACATCACGATGGTAACTATCCAATATTTGTAACTTACAAAGCATTTTTCTTATGTTACCTTCTTATTTGACACAATATGTGAGGCAAGTAAACTGGATTTTTAATCAATTCTATTATACAAAGAATAAAACTAAGGTTCTGTAAAAATTTTTCCTAGTGACACACACACCCAAAAAAAAAAACAAATGGGGGGAGGGGATAAAGTCCTTAGTGAATAATAAATGAAGCAGCATGTGACAGACAGAGCCTTAGCTGGATCATATACATTCTCTACTGCTTTTCTCACACTGCAGCTCACATGTGGTCCATAAGGCTCTGCTTGACTACAAGACCTGGTAAACCCGGCTTCAAGTCACACAAGCTACAAATGGAACACAAATTTTCTGTACTTTCTACAACAATATGTTGAATGAGTGTGAGGGCTGCCAAGAATTCTTGCCTGCAACCCCTGCTGCTACAACACCAGACCTGTGGGAAGGAAAGTGACAGAGTTCAGAGCGCTGTGTCACCATACTGAGAACAATCTCCATTTCCATATGTTCATCTGTTCCTAAGGATACTATTTCTGGTGACTGGTTTATTTGGAGCTATATGTGAAAAGAAGGTAGATATATCTCAAACAAAATAAAAGCAATACGAACACCCGGGAACCATCAGCAAAAAGGATTACGGTGGCTGATAAAGTAAGAGCTAAGTAACTCTCAGTTGTAAGGAGGTAGGATGACCCAAATTGAATTATTTGGTTCAATGCCAAACTTAAAAGAAGTTCTAATTTAAAAATAATGCAGAAAACTCTCAAACTGACACTCATAAGAATACATATATTTCATATATACACAGATATGGAAAGGAAGACCAGTCCTGGTCTATCTGGAACTTCTTATTTATGTGTCCTGGTAAATCACTCAGAAGAATTAGCAGGGCATCTGGTCACAGAAGGGTTTTATAAAACGTTAGGACTCATAGAGAGTCCAGAGTCCATTCCTAGCCTGTGCTCTTCCTCTGAGCTTTGTGGGCATATTCCAAACAAAAAGACAATCACCCCTAAGAATTTCTAATAGAAGAGAAAGAGAAATGTGGTGCCTTTCTGGATGTAGAATGATATTATCAGGCAATGGGTGAGTTTTGTGACTGACAAGCAAGTGACACTGGAGAAAGCATTTAGATTTTCTGTGTCTTGGGGTCCATGATGTTTTCAACAGGGATAATACTAGAAGGTAGTACAAATATTCAATCATAAAGTACAGAATCACAATGCATGTGCAAACACCAGAAAAGCTAAATATATTCCAAACTCATGCAAATTTTTTCCATTGTCCAACTTTTGCTAGATGGGGATATGACTCCACTGGATGAGACTACTATACCAGTACGTTGGCCTTGTCATTTTAGGAGAAATATGCACAACAGGCTCTGTGGTATAAACTTTTGGGAATGCCTAAATTGAGAATGGTTTCTTGATCTTCTTGCTCTTCAAAATACTAAGGGGTAAGTTTGCATTTATCATTAAGTCAGAAATGGTTGGGAAATTAATGAAAGCAAATACTCAGTACTAGGGCAAAATTCTCATCAATTAATTAGACAGAACCCAACAAAGCTAAGAAAAAAGTGACATTTTCAAGATGAACACCCAAGAGAAAAATGTATACAAATGAATTTTAAAAAAACACAGCCAATGCATCCATGAAAACTGGTCAATGATATCAATAATTAAGAAATGCAAATTAAAACAAAATATCATTTTGTACCTCAGATGGAAAATTTATACTAAGAAAAACTTATAAAAATAATAACTAATATTTGATAAGGCCAGAAAAACAGGCACTCTCTTAGCCTGTTAGTGAATTTATAAATGGGTAGGTCTTTTCTATAGTGCAGTTTGAGAATACATATTAAGAGCTAAAAATTGTACATTTCCTTTAACCCAGCAAATTGTACTTTAAGAATTTATTCTAATAATCAGAGAGGTGCAATAAAAGAGTTACAGGGTTAATGCAATAAAGCATTATTTATAATACTAAAATAAGGGGAAAGAACTAAATCCCTAGTAATAAAAGACTGATAAGAATTACTTTTTATTTATATACTTTCTTTATAAAATGGAATTTGGAGCAGAAAGAAACCATTATGTGAGGCTGAAGAAACCTTTATTACAAAAGAGTTTATAATATATGAACTGAAAAAAGTAATTATAAAACTATGTCAGTTATTAGGTCAATTTAGTGGAAAGAAAAGCCAATACTTATGATGCATGCATTTGCATACACCTGGAAGGATGTCTATCCAAATTCTACCCACGATTGTACTTGAGTGATATAATTTCTACTTTAGGAATTACAGGAATTATATGGGTAATTAGGCAGAGCATCTCTCCAGTCCCTATTTGCCTCCAGCAGACTCCTGGTGGATAAGGCTCTAAGATGATGACCTCACCATCTTCTCTGTGACACTGACATGCCTTCCAGTTTGAACTGCTGCCTCTTACTCTTTCTCCCCTCTGATGGAACACACAAACCAATTTAAAGATCACAAATAATATGCGACCTTTCCAAATTGCTAAAAGTAGGTTCCATCCTTCACTAAGCCACTCCTCAAACCATGTTTCTTTGTTCATCCTGCAAAAAAAAATTTTTCTCATAGAAGAGCTCACAGAATACATAGTCAAAAACACTTGTCAGTGTTTCTTTAAGGTGTTGCCTTTTAAGGATATAAAATTATGCTAAGGAATCAAATGTGCCAGAACACACTGAGATAATGACCCTCTCTGGCCGACCCATGAAAAGGACTGCATAAGGTATGTGGCTTGAGCAGCCTGTGCTCTGCCTACCATCAGCTCCTCCATTAATTATGACTCTGCCTTCAAGGCATGGGCTGGACTTGCCACCGACAGGAAGCTGAAGGCTTCCCAGTGACACCCACCCATGAGCACAGTTAATTTTACATGCAGCACTCAGCAAGTCTGAGGAGTCCCTCAAGGCATAATCATCAATGGGAAAATGACAGCAGCTTCCCATCACAAAAAGTCTCAGCTGAAAAACAACTTTCCACCCCATGAAAAAATTGGCATAAATAAATGATCCAGGAACTATGTTTTCAGAGTCTCAAATGGAAGCTAAGAGGATTGTGCAGGAAGAAAAGAGCAGAAAAGATGGGTAGTAGGAAGGAAAGGAAGAAGAAATAGAGTCTCAGAACCACAGGTATCTTAGTGGGTTACAGCCCCACAAGAAGAAAAGAGGAAGAGACCCAGAGAGTGAAAGTCCTTTGCAGGATCAGTTACAGCAGAACCAGGACTCATAGGCAAAAACTTTGGATTGTGCTTTTCAAAGAAGATAACTTCTGATGATAAAATATTAACTTAAAAAAGAAATGGACCTTAAACTATACAGTATTTTGGTTTTATGATCTCCCTAATATCAACCTTGACAGAGATGAAAATTTGTCTGAGGGGTGATTTCTCTTTTCTAATTAATTCTCCCCTCTGAAGATAGATACGTGGTACTTATTGTACCTACTTATTCTGCCACCTAATCAGACATCATGTTGAAATGTTATGTAACTCATACATGAAAATACGTCTTCCCGACATATCATAAAGCCTTAAAATGTGTGATTTCTGTCTTCATTCTCTCTGCTATCTCCCTAAACTTTGATTATTACATTACACAGACAGTAGATGCTTGATATTGATACATATTTGGGTAGATTGGTTGATGGGTGGGTAGACAGATGGATGGATTGAGAAAACAGCTTGATAAGCAGTGTTGAGACTGAAATATATACACCAAAACTTGTCAGGTAAAAAAGATGTGCATGGAACACTTATTCGACCATGACATGACTTGCTTCACCAGGAACTGACAAATGTACATATTGGCCTTCAGTCACTGAGGCTCAAAATCTCAAAATGGGCATTCATTTTAATTATACCACAAGATAGGAGATATTAAACCATTCCTCCCAGTTAAGAGGATACAATGGCACATACTTAGTTTTTAGGAGCATTCCCCTACAACACTCACATCAGAAGAGTTGCTTGGGAGCATGTGTGTTTATGTGCATACGTGTGTGTGTATGTGTGTGTGCATGTGTGTGTGTGCGTGTGTGCACGCCCATGCATTCAGGAATAGAAGGGAAAACACATGTGGGGTGTGATTATACCATAAAGAAGGGGGGGAAAAAAAGTAACTTGAGACCTGGTATCTGAAGGAGGTATATTCAGGTTGGCTGCATTCACTGCCCTCTGTAAGCTAGGACTGATCTGCTTGCATGCTGTGGAGACCTGGCTTGCTGGAGGTGAAATGGGTCCCAGTCGCTGAACCATCATGGGACTGCTGGTGACCACTAGATTGTTGCAGCTGCCTTTTCCAATGGACTTGCACTGAGGCCCAAAGCCAAGAGCCCCTAAAAACAAATGAATCAAGTTAGCTTTTATGTCCCTTAAATCAGAGACCAGTAAATACACACATGTGCACACTTATATCAGGACCCATCTCAAAAGACAGTCCTCAGATTTTCCTTTTTTAGTACGGGCAATATTACCAAAAATCTTTTTCTAATTCCAACTGGAAAGTCATAAAGCTACAACAGACACTCTTCCATAATCACCACTTATATAAAATGTGGTTAAATTTCACTTCTATATAGAAGTGAGAATCTTGTTTTGAGAATGATATTGAGAGGTATATCTTATATCTTTACCTAAAGGGTTAAGGTAGTAGGGCGATAGAATTACCTTCATCAAACCAAAGTGTTTTCTGGTGGGGTTTTTTTTTGTCTCCTCCCCCTCCACTGGAATCACCCAGCAAGGAAAGTTGACACTACTAAAAAAAATTTAAAAAATAAAAACCCGTTTAACTGGTTTACTTCATTCCAAATCTGGACTTCCAAAAAGCCTGTTTAAAAGGATATAGTATGACTGTGTACCTCCAATCTTGATTTTTTTCTCTTTTTCCCAATACTCTGTCATTGAACACATATCAAATTTTTTAAACAATCAGGATGAGAGTCTTAATATACTCATTTGAAAAGCAACATGGTAACTAAATTTGACATAGGTTTTTCATTTGCATTAGTTTACAACCTTCCAATGTAGCAAAGTTTGGTACATACCCAAAAGAGAAAGAAAAAAGAAGAAACCCACAAGAATCTGTGTCATTATGGAAAAGTGAAAAGCAAGGGAAAAAAGGCAAACACTACCATGATTCATTTATAAAAAATAATAATAATAGTTGAATCATTCTAGACATTCTTTTTACATGGATGTACTTGTTCAAACATTTTTTTTTTTTTTTTGCCAACTACCTGGCCAAGTGTCAGTAACTAAACACTCTGTTCCCACTTACAACAAATGAAAATAAATATGACCTCAGTTTTTAACAAATCAGGATCTAAAATTTTCTCACTTAAGTTCACTTTTTTTTCCCATTGATATAATTGGGATCGTAATAGGTGAAAAGTGTCACTGTATCTTTCCTTAGCCCTGAGGACATGCTTTCCTATTTTGTTTTCCCCAAAATTAAATCAATAGCCAAAAAGTATTTTTACTTATCATCTTTTGAAACATTTTCTTCCAGAAGCCCCTGAAGCCAAAGGACAAACAAGACAATTGGAACAATAGCTATGGCCCCATCTATGTAGCCACATCTCAAAAACGCTGGTAGAGTGACAGCATCCTTAGCTGGCAGCAGCCTTGCTCCAGTCCAGCCTTTAAGGAAACTAAAATTCAGATGAAATCCAAGCAGAAACTGATACTGCCAGGAGTGTATCTTTGTGACACCTGTGTGCTTAAGTTTGGGCTCCAGGATGCTTGGCTTCTTCCTGTACACTTTTCAAGATCATTAATTGCAACAGAAATTTCTTGGATTTCTGTTTTTCACATACACCCACCAGAACATCTCGTCTACCCTTCCCACTGCAGCTTAAGTTCGATCCATCTTCTTGGGCCTTGGACAATCAATCATAGATACTCTGTTTCCATAACTCATAAAGCATCGTACTATCAGGGCTTCCTATTGACACCTAGATTGGTGTGAACAATTTTATGGAGTGCATCAGAACTTAAACATTTTTAAAAATTCTAAATGCCACTTCCTTCTGACCTTGGAAAAGGTAATGTTGTGGTTCATAGCTTAGCCCAGTATGTAAAACACCTGAATTGCCTCCCCAGGTTCCATTGTTATCAGCCCTTGTTATCAAAACAACATCAGATGTGAAGTATTCTGTCAAATACCATATAGTCCTACAAAGAATTCAATCATTTCATGTCTTTTTCCTTTTTAATAAACAAATAATTAATATCCATCCACCCCTAAAACAAAGACACCCAGAAGCTGGAACAGCACACTTAAAAAATAACACTTGATGGCAAAGCAGATTAATATTTCATCAAATCTAAAATGCCAGTACATTGTAAGGCACAGCATTATTTTGGTTACCAGTGAGAAACATGAACAGCCAATTAAATTTGCAGCCTGGTGTTCAAATTTCAGAGATGTTGTGACATTAAAATACACATACCGTGAATCAATAAATACCAACATGATCAGTGAAAATTTTATTTTAACCCATGTCTTGTTCAAGCTCTTCTCTCTACCTGGAATGGCCTTACTCTAACTAACCTACCTAGTGAGAACCCTCTGCATCTTAAGGTCTCAATTCAAAGGTTCCCTCCTCTATGAACTCCCTTCTCCACCTCCAAATGAGCAGATCTGCCCAACTCTTCCCTTTGTTCCCCTTTGGTCTCCCGTAATATACCTGCCTCAGTTCCTGGAACATTTCAGGAAATGAACTTTTGCCTGCCTTTCATCCTCTCAGTTTTTATATTTTACAGCTTTTGAAAGGCAGAGCCCTATGTTTGGGGCATCCCTTAGCACCTAGCCTGGGGTCTATTAGTACACATTGAAGAAGGCTTAGAGGAGATGAAAGAATGAAAATAGGAGATAGTTATAGTGAGCATTAAACACTGACAAATTATTTCCACTGAAGCCCACCTGATTGTCTTTTTTGAAACAGTGCCATTTGGAGAAAAAATAAAAGCAATTTCAAAAAGTCAATCCTTTTGATGCTTCTCCACAGGGCTGCTTACTAGAAGATGGAGTCAGTGGGAATAGTAACTATAAATCCATTTTCCTGGGCCAGAATTTTACACAGGTCATACTGCCTGTGTAACCTTCTACCCTAGATGCATATATCCACATTATTGTTCTGTAATAAAGAAATTAACATTAGCCCTTCTCTCTCCAATATGTCCATCAATTTTTTACTGTCCCACCCCCTACTCCCAAATTCACTGGTCAGCTTTAACATCCTCCAAAAAAAAAAGAGAGAGAGAAATGACAGCTTCTGACAGAATCATAGATGATAGCCTCAAACCATGAGAATGAATGGTGGACTTCTTGGGAATAGGGAATGTTTGTATGTAGCTATAAGAATGTTCTGGAAAACAGCATCATTTGCCTCACAAGTGGAGTGAAACAATAGTTTGACCAAGAGCCACTGCAGGTCAATGTGACCATCTAATTCTTTTTCTAATGCCAGACATAATGACCACCTCCAGGCTATTCAGAATCAGGCAGTGCTCTGGAGTTCGAACTTTGGGGACAGCCTGCCTCGGATCAGCTAGGTGTGTGACCTGGGCAGATTACTGAGCATTTGTATGTCTTATTTCTATGCCTTATCATCTACAAAACAGGAAGAAAATTAAGACCACCCACAAGGTTGTTGTGCATCTAGTATTAACATCACATATAAAGGACTCAGTACATTATCCAGCACATAATAGGTGCTCAATGGCTATCCACTGCTATTGTTTTTGTTATTGTTATTGTTGTTTCATGTTTGTCCTTGCTTTTTTGCTCCATTCTTTCTTGAAGTAAGAAAAAAACAGTTTTTTATAATTCCTTGCACAAAACAAGATAGTAAATGGTGCTGTTTAATTCTCTGACCATTTCCAATGTTCTTTCTGCATCAAGCCTGGAGCCAATTTTTTTTTTTTTTTAAATCAGGTGTCATCACAGATAGAAGAAAAGTTTGCAATTGGCCAAGTTTGAATGTTCCTTGGCTTGTCATTCCCTAAAAACAAACCATACAACTTCTCTGACTACCAGATGTGCCAACTACTTGTGCACTGGTTTTCGTTTTGAAAGATCGCTTATTTTTAGAGACAACATGATATGTTTTAAAAATGTGTTTACTGTTCAAATAAGGATCTGAGAGGATGGCATTCGGAGCACCACATACATTCTAGCCAAAATTGCTGTGTGTTGGTAGTGAGCCCAAACATGTTACATTTTCAAGTTTCTGAACTGAGAGGTCATCTTAGAAGGGCATGTTTTAATCAATGTCTTCATCAGTTAAAAGGGTTCTCCTGAAGTTGAATATGTTGATTATGTTGCAATTATCACTGGCAAAGCTGCATCTTTTCTAACTAGTTATGACTATTCACAGGTTCTCCTAAAAGTGACACAGATACAGGGGGCTGCAAAAATGAGATACACCTGAGGAAAAGAGGAGAGGGAGTCAAAACTTTTTGGTTGTTGTTCATTCAACTGACACTTATCAAATGTCAATCATGAACCAGGCAGTCTGTGGAGAGAGTGGTAAGCCAGATGGACATGATCCCCCATGGAACCCACTCTCTGGTCATGAAGAAACATAACAGACCAACCATTCATTAGGAAAGAAGTGATCCCTACTCCTAGGGTGAGTCAAATGCAATGGCTTTTAAAATAGATTAGAAATTATCATAGAAGAGCAATTTCTATGTGGTTCAACCTATCAATTTCTATATGTTCAACACACAGAAGGAGGGTGTTTTGCAGAAATATAATAGCAGTATTCAAATCCCACCTTCACTGGATGTGTGACCCTGGGCAAGGTCCTTAAGCTTTAAAATGGGGACATAACATATCTAACTCACAGCATTGTTCTGAATGCAAAACCCTATGCATCAGGGTTTTCTTCCCCCAATATTTTATTCTAGAAAATTTTAAAACCTTAAGAAAAGTTGAAGGAATAGTAAAATAATCTCCAACTCTTATCTAATGGCCTGTGTATCCATTCATCTCCTATAAATAAGTTTACTATTTTTACTATTAATATTAATTTTGAACCATTTAAGTCACAGATTTCATGCCCTTCATTCCTACATATATCACCATAATACAGCCACCAAATTCAAGACATTTAGCAATGCTATAGTATTAGTGTATAATATAATGTCTATATTCAAATGTTATCAAAGACACATTTAGAGCAATTGTTTTCTAATCCAGGATCAAAGAGAGGCTTTGCTCAAGTGGGTCTTCAAGAATGCATTAACAAACCACTAGACATTAGGGCACTGAAGGCAGATGGAAACACTGAGGAAGAAGTGAGAGGTTAACAACAGAGAAAACAGGAGT